CATTAAAAAGTTTTAATTTCTTAATCACTCAGGTAATCATTATCAGATTGACTGGGTCATGTGTTGTTTTATATTTGTCTTTTATATCAGGCTGAAAACTTTCATTTTTCATATTGGTCTCGTTCTGCTTACACACACATGCACAGGTACAAACACATTCTCCTCCAACTTTGCCTTTTTCATATCTACTTCAGCAAGTAGCCAAGCTTGTCAAGAATAGAGATTAAATTAGAGAAAAAAGAGACTTGAACATTTCTCAACTTGAGTACAGTACATCCTTACTTTATGTCATACAGAAGTTCTTGGAAACTGTAACTTGAAATAAAATAGTATATACCTAAACCAACTTTACCACAGGTTGATTGATTTAAACAAGAGTTAAATTTCTACAGCATATTTCTGGGCACAAAAGCATCACCAAACTTTTACATAAAGACCCCAAACATTACATTACAAAACAAAACAAAACATTATAAAACAAAACTTATTAAATAATAAAATAAATCTGAGTCATTTATATATTTAGGAAAGATTAATAAAAACAAGTAAGATATTATTTTTCAGTGCACTGAGTTCAAGGCCATGGGTAGCAGTAGCCTATTGCTGCAGCTCAGGGTTGCAAGATGGGACCCTGACCTGGAGGACGCCCGCCTGTCACAGGGACTCTCACACCCGCCCACACTCACACTCACTCAGATAGGACAATGCAGACCTGCTGATTCACCTCATGTGCTCAGAATGGGATGGGTGAGGAAATGAGAATTCCCAGAGAAAAGCCAAGCAGACGGGGTAACATGCAAACTCCACTCAGACAGTGACTCTGGCCAGAAATCAATTTTTTTCTTCATTAATGTTGTAAAGAAATAACACTGAAGGAAACAATATTACTCGAGGACCTGTAGTATGTTTTAAAGTAAAAGTGTAATTGGAAGCATTTAGCATGTTAAGGAACAGACCGACTGACCCAAGTGAAGGGGAAAGGGAGATAAGGGGGAAAGATGAGGAAGGGTCCAGACTGATTGACCCAAGTGAAGGGGAAAGGGAGATAAGGGGGAAAGATGAGGAAGGGTCCAATCAACAAATAGGTACAAATGACCCATGGACATGGACAACAGGGTGGGAATTGACTGTGGGAGTCGGGTGGGTGGGCCAGGGGAGAGCAATGGGAGGAAATTGGGACAACTGTGATAGAGCAACAATACAAAAAGGGGAAAAAAAGAAAAAAAAGATACAATGTTATCTTTTTCTACTTATTTCCTAGAAGATACCCAAAAAGACAGATAATGAAAGTAGAGGTAATTTTAATACAATATTTAATAATCTAAGTACAAATGAAGCCTTAAGCAAAAGAAAATACTCATTTTAATAATAAATGTAAATAACGAGGGCTCTGAGGATATAATTAAACAAAAATTAATTCATATAAAGCAAAGTGTGTAGGTAAAAATTTAGAAAGTCATATAATATTGAAAAGAAAAATTCAAAATAATTTTATACTTACATTCCAAAGTTTGTATAGTTACAGATATTTAGTAGTTGAGTTAGCAGTTTACTAGAGTTTATACTGCTTGCTACCTAATTTTATTTCAAATTAATTCTGTGTCTAAAATTCAAGATGCATTTTATTAATGATGATACTGCAATCTAGTAGCAGATACAAATAATGACATTTTTATTATTTTAAGTTTTTGTCTTAATTAATTTTTATTAACAAAGTATGATAGCTATTAAAAAGTATGAGCAAAAATATAACATTTTTATTGGTTAATTTAATTAAAATTAAATAGATGAGTTTTTTAATTTTTAAAAATAGAGTAGGTAGTTGGATATTACTTGCTTTTCAATAGTAACATTTTAAAATGTCTTCAAAAATGTTATTTTTATTGCAATTTAAAATTCTATTATTTTAAAATAGAATTTTGACATGACATACCTTTCTCATAAAAGAAAATGTCTAAGGCTCTTTGCTCAAGGTCAATCAGTTGAAATCGGTCAAAATGTGTGCTTTTTTTCTTCATGGTTTTATGGTGTACCATTTAGTAGCCATTCTTAAGTGACTGTTGACTAACTAAGAGGAATATATAATTTTTATTCATATTTGTTATATTTAGCCACTGTTTGATAATGCCATTCTTTATTAGCATACAACATTAGTAGATACAATGGACTAAGTTGCTTATTTTGAAAATCTCAGGAGTCATTAAGGACCAAAAATAAATACAACATTAAATAGGTTTGAACTTCAATTGATTATTTCACCTAATAAATGTTTCTGTATCTGATTATATTTTCTCGCCAGAAAATTTGGTTGTTTTGTTTTATTAAAAAGCTTATTGGCAGAAATTGAGACAATCATCAGTTTTTGGTTTTAGAGATAGTATCCTGAAAACCTTACAATTCGAATTATCTGTCTTTGACAAAATTTCCTTAATAAATTCTCATTACTTGATTACAGGTTGAATGTTTCAGACATCTAAACTAATTAGACTACTGATTATTTTGATTACCAGAAATGCTTAAATATATATCTTACTCATCAATGTATTCACCTTCTATATCAGACACCTGTTATTTAAACATATTTAGTAGTTTCTGATTCACAGGAAAGTCAGCTGCATTTCATTATCTTTTTCTGTATGTTAGGGATTTATTCTTGATGTTAGGGATTTACTCTTGTTTCATAAAAATGTGAGTAAGCTGATCAATAGCCTGTAGGCAGGAATAGACAATATGGTGTTAGCTTCTAACTTATTTGTTGATTATTTTAAGGTATAACACTGATAACTAAAGTAGTTATTATATACACATTTATGCTGGCCACTAAGGTATATATATTTTTGACATTACCTTCTGAAAGTCAACATCTAACTCCTTCAATTGTTCGGAAAGGAGGCTGCCCCATGGACTTCAAGGATAGTCTTTAAATGCTTTCTGTGATATTTTTAATTATTTAAATTTTTTAATTACTTTTGCCATTTAATATTATATTACCTTCAGGTGTGATGTAGTAAGACGTTTATGTAACTTATGAAGTGATTTCTCCAGAAGTCTAGTCCTACTCTGTCTCCATACATGCCAGCAGTTATAATATTATTGACTCTATTCCCTATGCTGTACTTTATATTGTTTTGACTATTTTGTAACTGTTAATTTCTACTTCTTTTTTTTTAAAAATATTTTGTTTATTTTATTTATCTTTAGAGGGGAAGGGAAAGAGAGAGGGAGAGAAACATCAATGTATGGTTGCCTTTCGTGCGTCCCCTGCTGGAAACTGGCCTGCAAGGAACTGGTCTGCAACCCAGGCATGTGCCCTGGCTGGGAATTGAACCGGGATTGTCTGGTTCCCAGGCCCGTGCTCAATCCACTGAGCTACACCAGCCAGGGCTAATTTCTACTTCTTGATCTCCTTACCATTTTCACCCAGTCCCCCAAATGCTCTCTGATCTGGGTGCTACCAACTTCTGTGAACCTGTTTCAATTTATTCATTCATTTTATTTTATAGATTCCTTTAGTTTTGCTGAGAGCCTAAAACTGTTCTAAACAATAAGGGTTATTAATTTTAAAAATGTATTATTAGAAATTTTTATACAAAATACTTATTTTTGTTCTTGTTCATTTGTATAATACCTCTTTGTTTCTATTCCTTTTTTGGGGGGGTTGTTGTTAAACAGAATTTTTTCTTAAACCCTAAGTGAATATTCAATAATAGAAACTTGAGAAATTCTACTTTCATCGTGGTTTGGATCTAACAATCTAGGACTTACAATCTAGGACTTACAATCTAGGACTTCTGTGCTTCCTTTCATGTCTATTGGATTGTTTGGGTTTCTGTTTTTTTACTTCTTTTTTTTAACTTCATTTTTTAAAACTTAAAGCAACTTTTATAAAGCAGTGAGTTAACAACAACACTCAACTTTCCCCAAAGTTTAGATTTACTGTTCCGAAGCTGATTGTGATGACCGAATGTGCTTGTGTCAGGTTGCTGTTTAATATATGGAAGGTTTAAAGAAATACTTAAATTTCAACTGGGTTAAGCATCTGTGTACACTGTTACTGCTTTGTCATTAAACTAAATGAGGTATTAAAGTCTTAAAACCACAGTTATAATTAGATAGAGAACTCGAGCATAATTGTGTGCCTAAAGAAAATACTAATTGATGGTGCCCGTTCTCAATTGTCCGAAATAGGCTTGTCTCATGTGGTGTTTTTAATTGAGTTATAATAATTCTTCAGTACATTTTCCTCTTTTATGGATGTAGGACACTTTAACTTGTAAAACATTTTACTTTATTAAGCATGTGTATTTTAGTAATTAGCTTTTGTTTTTTCACTCGCACAAAATAATAATCTAGTAAGTATAATACTGCTTCTTATGTGATTGATTTTAAGTCTTTATTTTTTCTTTTACTTTTTACTCTGAAATGTATTTGTTTGAAATTATAGAATGGGGAAATATTTTAAGCTGACAAACATGGAAGGCAGTTTTTCCTCTGATAGTGGAATTATATTTTTAAAAGGAGAAACTACACATTACATATTACATGTAAAATGGTTATATTACATATAAAATCCTGTGGAAAATTCAGAGATAAGCAACAGGTTGGGTTTTCTTGGTATTGTTTTTTTTTTTTTTTTTTTTTTTTGGTTTATGATACACACTACCATACAGTATCACTTTATGGTTGCTGAGAACACAACACTGAACAAGACAGAGTCCCTGCATTTTGGACCTAACCTACACGCATTTTCTCAGGTTTTTTTTTTAGATATTAAGTGATTTTGTGGCTAAACAAATTTACTAATTTTCTTTTTGGAATGAGTTTCATCAAACAAGATAAATATTAGTAGTTCTGGTTTTTATAGGATATATTTCTTGAACATCATTATTCTTAAGATAGAGATTTATAATTTTAATTAATACTCTTAGCAATTAATATATAATAATTGAGAAAATATCGTATACTGTTGTACTTAACTATATATTTCTCTAATATTTTAGCTGGGAAGTTTTAAGATTCCTTTTGTCGAACATAAGATGGTGGTTGGAAGAATATGGCTTTGATGGATTTCGTTTTGATGGCGTTACGTCCATGCTCTATCACCACCACGGGATGGGTAGGTAATCTGGTCAAACTCAGATATCACTAATGATTCTATGGAGTTTTCTCACTGGCAGATTGCAACCAGGTCTGGGTTCAGTTACAGAAGCTGCAATAAGTATAACTATTGGCTTGATTATTATTATTTCTAATCTATGCATTTCCTCTAGTTACTTCTGGTCCTTTTTTGGAAGAGGTTCTGTATAAATACATTTTATAAATAAATGAAAGATAATGATTTTTTGTTAAATATATGTATTTAATAATATGCTACTTTTAACATGTAGCTTTCTTCTAAAATGTTGTTTAAGGAAACCTTTTTTTGCAGCACTCTCAGAATGGGAACATGACAGCATTTATGATGAAGATAAATAACAAAAATAATAAATGAGAACATTTGTGAATGTGTAGGTTCCTGCATATTAAACCTTAAAGAAAATATGCATAATGTATTATATATATAACATTCTCAGTTTAAATTAAATTATAAATTAATTTATAATAAAAACATTGAACAGAGTTTTGCAATTTAAAAGTTATATAAAGAAATAAGACCACAGAATTGAATTCTTCAGTAGATAACAGGTCAAACAATTATATTTTAGAAATCAAATATTTTACCAGCAACAACCAATCCAAAAAAACAGAGACTCTCAGTCTTGAAAAGTGGCTGCTTAGGAAAGAAGCTGTGTTCAAAATGTGGTGTTGTCTTTAAAACCTGCAGCACAGTCTTGGAGATGTTCCCTTGAAATGTTGCTTCGCACAAAGTTGAACCTGTAAAACCTGGCAGGTTTCATTAATATCTTTCAGTTGGAGAGTTGCTTATTTAAAGGATGAAGAAGAGAAGCATGGCAAAATTCAAGAAAGATTTTCTACCAAATTAAAATATCCCCATGTGCCTGCAGAACTTCCTTCAGATGAGGGTTAGGAATTTTCCAAGGAAATATGGGATTGAGGAAATGAACTGGAATCTATGCATATGGGATAGACTTCTAACCCTGTGGAAGTCATGGCTGGTCTGAGAGATTCAAACAAAGAGATCTATGCTCTAAAATGTCTCACCTAATAGGTAAAAACGGTAAAGAAAAGGATTCTAAGTTACCTAGTTTTCCCCTTTCGAATGATGACAAAAACATCTGGAACAGTACTGCGAAAGAACACATACTTGGAAAAAATGAGATTAACAATTAACATTAAGACACAGGGTGTTTAAGTTCATAAAATTCAGTGGTAAGGAGAAATTCATTAGATGATAACCAGGAAGAAAAATGAATTTACCTGCATGGTTGAAAAAAGTGGCTGGGTCTACTGCTCTGTTGCCAATAGCAATGCCCATAAAATTCATAGGGAAACAAAGTGTGACTGAGGAATTTGATAGTTGAAGAGCCATTGGGGTACAGATTTGAAAGACCTTAAGAAATAAAAATTCCATAATTACACTTGAAAATATCCTCAGTGATGGAATTCTATAAAAAAGAATTATTTAAAATAAATAACTTAAGAGTTATAGGGAAGCAGGGTAGAAAATGTAGGCATTGAGCACTAATTTGACTTAACCAAAAGAAGTGTAAACAACTGAAGTAATAGAAAATAAATTGTATATCTCAATAACTGAAATAAGGGACCAAAATTAGGAGATGAAAAAGAGAAGGTAGAAAGATGTTAGAGAGTGTTAATTTTTTTTGTAATCACAGGCAATCCATATTGTATAACTCAAAGCACATATTTAAAATAATATACACATTATGCCTCAATTTTATGATGGTTTTCATATTTGCTTTTCTTTACTTTTACTCCTTTCTTTACTTTGCTTAACACAACATGTATATAAAATTTGAAATTTAGAATTCCTTTCACTATCATTTCAATTTCTTTTTCTGCTATACAACTCAATTAAAATTTTGCCCTGGCTGGTGTAGCTCAGTGGATTGAGCACAGGCCTGAAAACCAAAGGATCACAATTCAATTCCCAGTCAGGGCACATGCCTGGGTTGCAGGCCAGTTCCTAGAAGCAGATGCATGAGAGGCAACCATACATTAGTATTTACCTCTCTCTCCCCTCCTTCTCTAAAGATAAATAAATAAAATCTTTAAAAAGTTAAATAGAGAACAAGGGGATAGTGACCAGAGGGGAGAAGGAAGGGAAGTTAAGGGGAAAAAGGGGGAGGGATTTGGAGGAACAAATAGGAAGGACACAGGGACGAGAACTAAGGGGGGGGAGGAAATGGGAGGGAGGTGGGGAGCAAGGGGCAGGGGAGGCTGGGATGGGAAAAATAGACAAAAAACTGTACTTGAAAAATAACTAAATAAAATTAAAAAAAAAAGTTAAATTAAAATTATAGATCAAAGTGTCTTATTTATTTACTTTTATAAAACAAAAACTGAATTGCAGGATTGTTGATATGGAATACTCTTCTAACTTAGATCATATATTTACGATGATAACATTATGTGGTTTTGAGGCTCATTACACTTTGCTATAACAAATCTGATATCAACATACTACTAAATGGTAGTGAAATTTGTGTAGAGTTAAGACTCGCATGTTAACAATACACTTACGCTGATTTTATGTTTTCTAGGTCAAGGTTTTTCAGGTGATTATAATGAGTATTTTGGACTGCAAGTAGATGAAGATGCCTTGATTTATCTCATGTTGGCAAATCATTTGATTCATACATTGTATCCAGAGTCTATAACAGTCGCTGAGGTAAAGCTATAGTGATCTCTAGCCTCTAACCCCCTTTAATATAGAACATTTTGTCAGCCTGCAATATTTGAATAATTAATCTCAAGTTGTCAATAATTGCCTAACTGAAATTATACCCTGACTACAGTGCAGCTACCATGTATGCATGACACATTATGTAGAATTCACTGTTTGCCTTCTAGGAGATAGTGTACACTAATTACTTGTCACCATTTCATTGTTAAAGGAATAAATGCCAATGGTCAGAAAGCAAAATGTCCTAATTAGTGGGCAGGTTCTTCTGCCATAAGACCTTCAGCAAAGAAAAGAATTGAATTGAAAAGAAGTTCATTTATTTGCTTCTGTCTATTTATTTATTTTTTTCTGGTTTAATCATTAGAGATGGCGTGGATCACTGCCTGGGAGCTCCTCTGAAGCCTCTCTTGTTCTTATGCAATTACCTTTCTTGTTTATGTTACTGCTCTCCGATTGCCAAATGTTCACTGGTTATTCATGATCACTGAATGTTCATGATTAACTGTCCCAAAGCTGCACTGTAATGATATAATTCGGTATATGCATAATTGACAATTCCCCTCTTGGTGATAAATGTGATAAATTAAGAAGTTTGCTAAATGCTTATGCTAATTTAGATTTAGCACTAAACTCCCTCTGGTTTCCTGAGTCTTCTGACTAGAAATTATTATTGAAATTGCATTCAGTATGTTAAAACTGTTCTATACAAAGTACAGTGGTCGTCATATAAAAATAATAAGACCGTTGTTAAAAGATTCAGAGTTAGGGTGTATTTTCACATTGTTGGCCTTTAGTTTATTTGAATGAAATGTAGTAGTTAATGATTATCTCCTTTCTGTAGTATTTATTATTGATATATCATTTTTTCTCATTCGTTATTTCTCAAAACCCTAAATCCCCAAATAGTTGTTATGATTTTCTGCACAGAAAAGTTCTCTCTTTAGTCCTTTTCAATATAAATATCTTCAAGGAATAAAGCTATGGGTCTTAAATCCCAGGAATATATTCTTATATAGAATTTTTGAAAACCCAACCATCGTAATACCATTTTGGTACCAGTATTAATTCCACACTCTTTATCTATCTACATTTGACCATAGCTTGTAAGTCTTGCTAATAATTTGTGCTGACTATCTTTTAACATCAATCACAGTGTGTTTTAAACTTTTAGTTTGCCTTTTATACATTTTCACATTATCTTTCAAACATCAAAAATTTAATTAATTATTTTGTTGATTATATTTATGGCAATTCAAAGCAGAGATATTGTATATGACAAATTACTATAAATAACTAATGGCACAAATCAATTTTCATACTGGAAAAAAAGCAATTACTTAATACATGAAACTTAAAATTGTTCCATTGATCTCTTCATTCATTTCAAGTAAAACAATTCCATCATCCAGGGAGCCCTTGTCTGATTATCGGTGTTTCTACCAATGAAACTTTGAGACTTTAGCCTACTTTATATTACTTGGTTTCAGATTTTTTTAAAACAAGATATGTCTTCAATTTATTTTACTTAAATTGAAAACGACTTCAATTTCAATACATCACTTTTCTGTCTAGTGGGAGTCTCTTCAAAGCATAGAATTGATTCTCATGAACTTTTTTTGAAGAAAGGAATGTGGTATAACAAATATATAATGTAGTTTTGTATAAAATCCTATAGTAGATATTTGAATTTGTGAATAATGACATTTATTAAAATTGAAAGCTTCTTTTCTGAACTATATCTACCACTCCACATGGTTACATTTGCTATATTAATTTATTAATTTAAAATATTTTTAATTGTTAGTGCCCTTTAGATATTAAAGAATGAAAACTGTTTTAAGTTCATTTGAGAAATCTATGATTATTTCACTATGCTCTTTTGGTAGATATTAATGTTGTATATTTAAAATATGTTTATTTTAATGATATTTATGTTTACCTTCCTTCTTCTTTTAATATTTTAAAGAATAGTTATTAACTCTCCACTTTCAAAAGAGAGCTACATATATCTCATATGCATTAATGGGGAAGATTTCTGGGATTCAGATTTAGGAGTCGAGACAAATTAGTGTCCAAATATTGTTTTAGCAGACTCTATTTCCTATCAAATTATTTCTTAAAGCCAAGGTAAATATAGAATCTACCTTAATGTTTTCTTGAGAAAATTATCTTGATCTCTTGATCTTCAATACTATCCCATTACCAATCTTATAGAAACTCCTGGTCTCCTGGAAACTCTTCTCAGAAGGCCTTGTATCTCTTATTCCAAGGCCTAACATGTCTGTCTGATATTTAATACATATTCAACTAATGCTTGTAAAGAATTGAACTAGATGTCCATGAAAATGTGGCATATTTTGATAAATATAACTTCTTTTAAAATGACTTCTTTTCTGTTAACTTTCTTCTTTTACTTATTTCCCAATCATTTTTTCACTGTTATGTACTATGAAGTGCCATGTAGAAATAAGATATAATTGACAAATGTCTTGTTTCTTAGTGGATGTATGGCACCATGTATTACATTTACTTATACCTCTCATTCACAAAAGATAGCCAATTCATAAATGATTTGGGGAGACCAGAGAGGTCATGCATTTCTTTGTCCCAGCTTTTCTGTGGGGATAGTTTGGTGATGGCATTGTGGAAAAGGAAGCATTTATTTCTCAGCAAACTCATAATATGGTATTCTTTTATAGGGAGAGTTTGGTCAAGGACATAAATAAAAAAGCCTATGACATTCACAGGGAAAAGTAAATATTTCAAAGTGGATGAAGTATTAAGTATTTGAGATAAAATAGTACAAAATAATGATAGAAAGATGTAGATCTCTCCACTGCACTTTCTCTGTACTTGAAAGAACAATGATCATAATTATATCATATTGTCACTTCATGGTAATGTGTGTATATGTATTTAGGTTGTAGTTTATGAATCTCCAAAGGTCAGATAGTATACCTTATATATCTTTAAATTCTGGAAACATATTCATTCACTCACTCAGCAGAGTCCCAGCTCTAACATTGACAAGCATATATCTTTAGAGATCCCTTCACCTCAATAAGCCTCAATTTCTGTGTCTTCTGAATGAAGAGGATCTACTGGATAACCTCAAAGGCCCTTACACTGAAAGCCATTTTCTTGCTTCACTCTTAATGTACCAACTCTACTTTCCATTTCATCAGAAGTAAGCTAAGTGAGCTAAGTGCTCACCAAATACACTCCATGCCTGATAACAAGTATAACAGATATACGCTACATGTAGTTTTGTGTTTCATGAAAGCAGCAACTAATAAAAAGTGTTCAAAGTAGTTCAAAAATCAGTCTGAGAAATCATGTTTTAGCAATAATAGTAGTACTAGTCTGTTTTCTGTGTGTGTGATAACAAAGAAAAGAAAAATATGGCCACAGGAGATCAAAGTTGTCCTGCAGTGAAGAGCATGACCCAAAACTTTACTGGGAAATGAGATACGCTATCACAGTTTTTTCTACTTTTACAAGTATACCACCAAAACTCTACAAAAATATATGCTTATGTCCTTAAATCTTGTTTTCATTCATTGGCCTTATCTTTACTGTCAGAGGACATTTAGTAAAAATCTGAGTAGTGTGAACTCATGATACCGATATCCTTTGTTTTAGGATGTATCAGGAATGCCAGCTCTGTGTTCTCCAATTTCCCAGGGAGGGTGTGGCTTTGACTATCGATTAGCCATGGCAATTCCAGATAAATGGATTCAGGTGAGAGTTCCTGTAAATATTTTTTGTGTATGTGGACAGTATGTATTATGCTGGCTTATTTATTTTTTATATTTTATCTTAGTTGTGATTATTAGTTACAGATATTACAAATGAAGTACTAAATTCTCCCATAAGTGTGTTAATTCTTGTGCTTCTCAAAATTCTAAAAGTTCTAATATAAAGTATTCATAGTTGCCCTATCTAGGCAAGTGGAGAAATATGATTAATGTAAGGTCAGCTGTGGAATTATCAATGCAATTCTATAAAACTTTAGTACACTATATTTAAAACATGTTAAATTTTATCAAAGTAACTATTTCTGCTTTCAAATTATCAGTTAATGTAGAAGTTACTCCTTAATTCCTAGTACTTGCTTCACAGTATGGTCTTTTCTCAGCATGTTTGGATTCACCCAGTTCTTCATTCAGTATTTAGAAGTCCTTAGCATGTGTTAATAACTAGAAATGAATAATTGTACATAACACCTTATACATCATTTCTAATACAATTGTATTAAACTTAATGACAGTTCAAGCAGTTGAGAATTGCATCTTGTTTTATTTAATGTGTGCCTATAAGACTAAATGTGTTACATACACTTAGATAGGGTATAGAACATTTTTGAATGGCCAGTTCCATTAATCATAGGCTGAATATGGCTAAGGAGTCAGATATGTATCAAATAATCATAGCTTTCTGACAAGCCCTTTTGTACAGACATGAACTGATGCCATGAGATCACAGTGTTAGAATTGCTTGACTTCCATAGAAACACCACAGAACCTCCTCCGAAGGAAGTGGTAATTGCAGTCATCTCTTAACTGTCTTTCCTGGGGCCCAGGGCAATTTGTGCAATGTGCAGCTGTGGCATTAAAACCCTACCAATACAATTTCTGCTTCTCCATTTATAAAGACTCCTCAAACATTGTCAACTCAAAAAGCAAGTGACAATCTTAGAAATAAAACTAATGAGCTGAGCATCTTGCTTTGATACCTGAGAAAGTTGCTGTATATTTTTAAAACTATGCTAAGTAAAACAAGCCAGGCAGTGAGGGACAAGTACCATATGATCTCACCTTTAAGCGGGACCTAATCAACAAAACCAACTAGCAAGAAAAATATACCCAGAGACACTGAAATTAAGAGCAACCTGACAGTAACCAGAGGGGAGGTGGGAGGGGATAATGGGGGAAAGGGTCTTCAGGAACAACTGTAAAGGACACATGGACAAAACCAAGGGGGAGTGGAAGCAGGGGAGGGAGATGGGGATAGTTGGAATTGAGGGGAATATTGGGGGGTAAATGCAGACAACTGTATTTGAACAACAATAAAAAAAACTGGTATTGTCTTCAAGTTTCTCACCTTGGTTTAAGGTTCTTTATCCACTCATCATGTTACAATTTCTAATCCTTCATACAAACTTTTTCCCCAGCAAATGCCAAATCTTACTTTGTTAGCCTCCCACTAAAAAGCCTTCACCATTCTCCAGTCTTTGTGTAGATTTGAGAATATTTCAAGGTGTGTATCAACCTTGAATTTTTCCCAATCACTCATAATGTACATTGGGATTATTTTTCTTTTAGAACGATGGCAGTTTTTTAATTTTCAATTTACTAAACATGTAAATGCCTTATATACTGAAGGCACTGTGCTAGGCAGCACATCATACAAGTGGAAAATGTATTGTCCTGTGTTTAGCATGTGGCTATGCTATCTGTTTAAATTGTACATAATCTGAGACAGACGTCCTCTTCTGTTGCATGAAATTATTTAAAAATCTTTTGGCCTCACAAAAATAAACTCCTTAGTTAATAAAACTAAAGAGAGTTCAAATAATATTTTTTACAACTCAGTATATTCTCTGACTTTTACAAGTTGTGCATTTAATGAAATAATTGCACGAATGTCTACTATTCCCTCAAATGTCAATAAGACATGCAAGACTATTAATCCAAATGACAGTCATACCCAGAATTATGTGGCATTCATTGCAGTCTACCCATAGAGTAAGAGTTAGAGTAAATCCTAGATTCCATTTATATTTTTGTTGTTCCAAAGGAAATTATTTACTATGTTCAACTTCATGATTTAGGAATCAGTAGTTTGGATTATCATACTGTATAATCATTTACTGAACAAATATTTGCCTTTACAAAATATGGGTAACATGCTTTAATTTTATTTGATAATTTTCATTATCTAATAACTGCTTATGTAAGAGTTGTATAAGTAAATTGAATTCATTAATTTCATTAATTCTACTACTTATTGTATACCTATTTATTATATAAATATGCTTTAATTAAACATGCTGTATTGAGAAAATTATAAATTCATATGCAGTTATAAGAAATAATACAGTGATATCCTCTAACTAGTTTTCCCCACCCCTCAATGGGTAACAGTTTTGCAAAGCTATAGTATGATATCACCACCAGGATGCTGATCTGGATGGAATCAAGATTCGGAACCCTTCCACCACCGCAGGGTTCCTTGTATTGCCATTACAACCACACCTACATCCCCTGCCCCCCAATCACTTTGTAAGCTGTGGCAACTACTGCTGACCTCCATTTCTATAATTTTGTCATTTTAAGAATGTAATATAAATAGAATCATACACTATGTTACCTTTCTAGATATTAATATTTCACTCAGAAAAGTTCTCTGGATATTCATGCAGGTTCTATCAGTTGTATGTCAGTTCTCTATTGCTTTTTACTGCTGAATAGTAGTCTGTGGTATGGATATACCACAATTTGTTTAATTATTTGCCCATTGAAAGACATCCGGATGGTTTCTAGGTTTGGGCTATTATAATAAAAGCTGCTAGCTTATTTTATTTTTGTTTTTCTTTTGTTTTTGGCTTTTTCCAGCTTCTAAAAGCCACCTGTATTCCTTGACTCTTGGCCCTTTCTTTCATCTTCAAAGCCAGCAGGGTAGCATGTTAAGTCTCCATCTTATACCCATAAGTCACGTCTCCTTTTTAGAAAGATCTCTGTAATTACATTGGTATCCACATTTTGGACATTAGGATGTGAACATCAGTGGCTGACCATTACTCTATTATTCTGCCGGACAGTCTGCGCTCTAGTGCTCAGCAATTCAGAAAGATATTGTGAGGGATGGGCAAGCACGTCTGAATGCTGCAGGGAAAAAATCAACAAAGGAAGATACAAGTGAGCCCGAACCCAATTTCTGGTACCAAATCTGCATTAGTTTTCTCTTGCTGCCTAACAAATTACTACAAACTTGGCATCTTAAAACATTACTCCGTTATTATCTCATGTGTCTTCAGAGGGCATCCATCATATTCAAAGGTTCCCTCATACACACTCTCACAGGGGTATCCAAACCATGGCCCATGAATCACATGTAGCCCAGGAAGGCTATGAATAAGGCCCAACACAAAATTGTAAATTTACTTAAGACATTACGAGATATTTTTGTGATTATGTATCACGAGTTATTTAATGTGTGGTCCCGGACAACTTTTCTTCTTCCAGTGTGACCCAGAGATGCCAGAAGGTTGGACACCTCTGGAAAGGATCACACAAAGGTGTGACTAATAGGGAACAGGAATCACGAAGGCCAGCCCAGAATTCTGCCTATCACAGAATGCAATGGATACTTTCAACAGAGAAATAAGCCTATGCAGAAAGAGTGTAAAAGAAAAGAGGCTATTTTGAGTATGTAACTTTGAGGAGCACCAGCTTCTTATTGGACAGGCAGAAGAAGAGACTGCAGAATGCCTAGAGTAATGGGCAAGCAAAACAAGAGTTCAAAGTGGTGGGCTAGGAAGGAAAGCATTTCGTGGGGAGGGAAAGGGTCAGCCTTGTTAACATGTACAGCTCGTAAGTATTAGCCTGAAAGCATTCACTGACCTGTGAAACAGTGATCTGTGATCTTGACAAGGGCATTCGCAGTAAAGTGGTGTTAAACGGGCAGAAGGCACAGTGACGGCTGTGTGGGAAAGTGAAGACAGAAATGTGTGGTCTGTTCAGATAATTATTTCATAATAACTAGTCTTTAAACTTTTATATATTTTTAAATTTATTTATTTTATTGTTTTTGCTATTATAGTTGTCCCTGATTTTTCTCCCTTTACCCACCTCCACTAAGCCCCATCCTCTCCCCTTTCTATTCAGTTCCCACATTGTTGTCCTTGTCCACGAGTTGTGTATATACATTCTTAAGTTAGTCCCTTCACTGTCTTTCATCACATCCCATCATCCTTTCTGGCAGCTCTTAGTCTGTTTCATGTATCTAAGTCTCTGTTGTTATTTTATTCATTAGTTTATTGTGTTCATTAGATCCCACATGTACATGAGATCATGTGGTGCTTGTCTTTCACTGACTGGTTTAATTCGTGTAGTATAATATTCTCTAGTTCTATCCATGCTTTTGCAAAATATGAGTTTATTCTTTTTTACTGCTGTGTAGTATTCCATTGTGTAAAGGTACCACAGTTTTTATATCCACTCAACTATTGATAGGCACTTATCCAAATCTTGGCTATTGTAACTAGCACTGCTATGAACATGAGGGTATATAAATTCTTCCAAATTGGTGTTTGGGGATTCTTAGGGTATATTCCCAGCATAGAATCTCTGGGTCAAAAGACACTTCCATTGTTAATTTTTTTTAGGAGATTCTATATGCTTTCCACAGTGGCAGTACCAATCTGCATTCCTACCAACAATACAGAGAAGTTCCCTTTCTCCACATCCTTACCAGCACTTGTTGATTTATTGATGATAGCTATTCTAACAGGTATAAGGTGATATCTCATCAAGGTTTTAATTTGCATATCTCTGATGGTTAGTGACATTAAGCATTTTTATGTGTTTATTGGCCATCTGTATGTCCTCTTTGGTGAAATGTCTATTCAGGTTTTTTTGCTCATTTCTTAATTGAGTTGTTTGCCTTCCTGGTGTTAAGTTGTATTAGTTCTTTGTATATTTTGGAAAATAAACAACAAAAGAAGCTAATTTTTTTATCCAGCCTAAAAATTTAAGAAGTATGTTTCTGCTTTGTGAAAGTTACCAAAAGGTGTATTGACAATAATACTTTTCTTGTAGTTATTAATCAAGAGGTAGCAGTTGTTAAAGGGGAAAAAAAGGTTGCAAAAATCCTAAAGTGCAATGATCAAACCATCTGCACAAATGTAACAATACATACACACATACACACACTCACACACACACACTACACCACTGTCATTTGCACAGTCTGCTTAAAAGCTGTGATTTCAGAAAGTTTCAACATACATCTTTGTTACATGGGTGTGCTTGTATCTGTGTGCCAGATAATATGGATTGATATGATGTATACCCTAATGTTGGAATTTAATGTAAGTATAATAATGGCTTATACAAATTAAACCCTCTCTTGCATCTAGCTACTTAAAGAGTTTAAAGATGAAGATTGGAATATGGGCAATATAGTGCACACACTCACAAACAGACGCTACCTTGAAAAGTGCATTGCTTATGCAGAAAGCCACGATCAGGTAAATGGATATTTGTGTAAATCCATCTCTCTCTCTCTCCCCCATCCCATCTATGTGCTCTCTGCCCATGTGTGTGTTTGTATTTATTAACATACTTAAACATAAATTTCTTTAGTTCAATACAGTTAATGTAACTCATTATATGTATCTATGTACATCTGTGTCTATATGTGAAAACTACTTACATTTGAAAAACATTTTAAATTATTTTGTAGGACTATAAATTCTAGCTTCAAAATATGCCATTTTTATCCTGTCAAAGTCTAATTAAAAGATTGTAAATGAAACTTGCAAGTGTTATCTTACATGTTTTTCTTTGTTGTAACGAGAGGAATATCAATGCTAATCTGGGTTAATTTTAATTTCCTTTCTTGGTTTCCTTCCAGAGGTTTTCTTTTATGCCTTTGGACAGGCTTTTATCATTTTTTTTCTTCCATCACTAAAATCTCTTGTTTTTTGATCACTGTCCCCTGAGCTACAGTCCAGCTTCTCTAAGGCAGCCTGAAGTATTTTCCAAAAAGCAGAGCTTATTTTGTCATCCCAGATCTTCTGAGTGAAGCTTGCCGTTCAAGGCCACGTATAACCCGACATGAGCCAGAGTTTCACTTTCATTCTCTACTCAGCTCAGCAAGCAGTCCGTTCTTCAGTAAAATTCTCACTCACTCCTGAATGGGCTTCCTCATTCCAGTTGTGTCCTTTGCCCACACAGCTAGGAATGCCTGCTTCACCTGGGAAGCTCCTGTGAAAGACCCAATGCTCTGTAACACGTTGCCTCTGAAGCCTTCATCTAGCTGTCTAAACATACATAAATTAAAAATATATATGGGCCTCAAAAATTATTTTACAAAACATCTCGTAAGTATATAAAGTTAGGAGCAATCTATGATTGGATTATGGAACTATAGATAGAATAGGTAATTAAACTAAGTATAAATTATATTAGACATGAATGTATTTTTAAGGAAAAGAAAAAGAATAGTTGCTCCATCATCTACGTTCTCATTATGTTTAGGCAGAAAATCTGCTTTTATACCTTTGTATTTCTAGCCTTGATACCATGACTGCTCCACTTAGTCACTCAATAAATATAAATAAATGGGGGGGGAGGCCATTTAGGTTTTTAAAGTTACCTTTATAAACATAAAGAACATAAAAATGTAATTTTTATACATTAAAAATGAGACAGGGAAGAGTTTTGAATTATTTGCTGTATATGTACTAAGATAATTAAAGCTTAAAAATAAGTTTCTCTGTTATTGCAGCAGAAATTGACAGGTGGTCCTTCAGGTGTCTTCTCTAATTATTAAGAAAGTAGAAGTAGATCAAGGTCAGCTACAAAGACTCACAGGCCAAATTCTGCTTGCTTTCTATTTTTGTCAAGTTATTTAGAACACAGCCGTGCTCATTTGTTTTCGTTGTGTGTATGGCTGCTTTTAAGTCGTCGAGACAGAGTAAGTGTCCCATAACACCTAAAATATTTATGATTTGGCTTTTACAGAAAGTTTGCTGACTCATGAACTAGACATATGCTAAATTTTGCACCTTTCAATCAGAGGACTGCTATCTTTTCCATTTAAATTGGCTGCAGAGCAGAACAAATAAACATGAAAAAAAACACAGAACCAAACTATTGCAGAATAATGAATGAGTCATAGTAACTTAAAGGTGTGTGGAACAACCAAACAAATACATAACAATATGAAAACTAAAATACATGCCCAAATTATATCTCTCTATCAGCAATTCCTAGCAGTCATAGCACATTTTGAGCTTCTAATATGTACTTATTTATTATGAATGAATAGAATTAACAAACTGAAGATGAAACTGATAGATTTCTCTCATAATTTTCCTCCAAAATGTATTGAAACTATGAATTTACCAAGAATTATTTTATATTTAAAGATTCAAGTAATTTTTTCTTGTAATTCAAATTGTCAAGCATTTATAAAAAGATGCATGTTGTCTAGTTCTTTTTAAAAGCAAATATATAAATAAATCTACTAAAAATGATCAATATACAGGGTGGGGTGAGTCAAAAGTAGGTTTATGGTTGTGAGTATGTGAAAAAGAATTTGTTCTTGTATTTTATATATTGTTGTATTATTTTCCATATGAACAACTGTAGACCTACTATTTCTCCACCCTGTGTATTACAAAATGAATAATATAGAAATATATACATAATTAGCCCTGGCTGGTGTGGCTTAGTGGACTGAGTACTGGCCTGCAAACCAAAGGATCACCAGTTTGATTCCCAGTCAGGGCACATGCCTGGGTTGCAGGCCAGGTCCCCAGTATGGAGTTGGCGAGAAGCAACCACACATTACTGCGTCTGTTCCTCTCTTTCTTTCTCTCTTCCCCTCTCTCTAAAAATAAACAAATAAAATTTTTAAAAAAAGAAATATGTACATAATAGTCAAAATCTAACAGAACTTGTCAGAATGATTTTATAATAGAATCAAAGATTAATGAAATAAACAGCTACACCTAACATATAATTAATTCAAAATAAGTGGGGGGGACCAATTGTTTAAGAAATAATGCTGCCCAATCAACATTTAACAAATATATTTATATTTTATGTGCATTGTTTTCAAACATTTTTTAGCAGTAGACCCTAGTTTTAAACTATATAGAACTCTATGTTATATGTCAGACTGAAGATGCATTTTGTTGGTACATGTATTAGTCTTGTAGGGATGCCACAGGGTGGCTTAAATAATAAATTTGTTTCTCATAGATCTGAAGGCCAGAATTACAGGATCAAGGTATCACAGGTTTAGTTCCTCCTGGGGCCTCTCTCCTAGGTTTTCAGATGTCATGTTCACTCTGTGTCCTTACCTGGACTTCTTCTGTGCGCATTCATCCCTGGTGTTTTTTCCTCTTCCTGTAGGGGCACCACTCACTGGATTAGGACCTCATTTAAACTTATTACCTCTTTACCATATCTCCTAATATAGTCATATTGGAGGTTGGAAATTCACAATGTATTTTGGGGGGATGAGGTAGGGCACAACCCCCTCCATAACAGTAAACATTTTTTGTATGTTTAGATTTAAAGTATTTACCTCAAAGTTAGAGAGAGAACAAGGAGGTTGCTATCATAAAGCAAAAAAAACAAAAAAAAAAGTTGAACTCAAGTAATACAAATGAGAATACTATTTAACCAAACTTTGAATTTGATTAAATGGTAAAGTTATTGGTGAAAATGAAAAATGTGTTTTTATGGATAAAAACATATGGACTTTTTGGCCAACACAGTAAGTCCATATGTTTTTTTCCCCTTAAAATAAAAGACACATTTTTCATTTTCACCATTAACTATTGATTTGGATATTTTGAGTATGTCAGCTATCTCCCACTATTGGCTTCTGGTGGGTAGTGGCCAGATGTATTGCTAAACATCTACCAATGCATAAGACAGCCCCACAGCAAAGAATTATTTGGTCAAAATGTCAATAGTATGGAGAAATTTTGCAAACCACTTTTGACATATTCAATCAGTCACAAAACCTTCTCCATATACCGCACAATTTTTTCTCTTGCATTTCACTTGTGTTTTTACCTTTCTTGAAATAATAAAGTATAATATGCCAAAAATGTTGTGTATCTTCGTCCATCTTCAGTATTAAAGCAACTGCACAAAAATTCACTAATTTTGAAAAGTTTTTTTCTACATGCATGCTAATATGATAGCAATACAATCTAACAAAATTGTTTCAAATGAAGTTAAACACAACCAACCACTATGAGAGCCATCTTACAGGAAAAAATGAATGAACTTTTTGGCTAACCCAGTACATACCTATCATATATACACATATAAAAGATTGTTTAACTTCTGGCCAAGATTGGGGCATAGGTGGAAACACTGTGCCTCCTTGCACAACCAAAATTAAGGACAAAAAAGGTTTAGAAACAAAAATAGAACCAGAACAGACAGAAAATTGAACCGTACAGAAGTCTGAGAACCATTCAACCAGACCAGTAAGAGGGGCGGAGTTGGTGGCAGGAAAAGACAATGTCTGCCAGACCCTGGAGTGCAGGTGGAGCAGGACTTACTGCGGTCACACAATCACATACGGATAAACTAGGCAAAAACAGGCAGCCAGAGAGACTGTGCAACCCAGGGCTCCAGCGCCAGGAAATAAAGCCTAAAAGCACTGATTTGAAAGGTGCCAGGAGAGACTCCCAGCCTCACAGGAGAATTTGTCAGAGAGACCCACAAGGTCCTAGAATGCACACAAGACCACCCACCCAAGAACCAGCATCAGAAGGGCCCAATTTGCTTGTGGGAAGTGGCACAGGGGACTGAAATCCTAGAGAGAGCTGAACAAGCATCATTGTTCCCTCTCTGACCTCTCCCCCACATACAGCATCACAACCCAGCGACTGGGTTGACCTGCCCTGGTGAACACCTAACGCTCCAGCCCTCACTAAGTAACAGGCACAACCTGACCAAAAAATTATGGCTCAAACAGAAGAACAAACCAAAGCCCCAGAGCCAATACTTTCAAGTGACCAAGAGATAGTCAACGTATCAGATGCACAGTTCAAAACACTGGTGATCAGGATGCTCACAGAACTGGTTGATTTTGGTCACAAATTAGATGAAAAAATGAAGGCTACACTAAGTGAAATGAAGGAAAATGCACAGGAAACCAATAGGGATGGAAAGAAAACGACCTCAAATCAATGGAGTGGACCAGAAGGAAGAAAGAAACAACCAAACAGAAAGTGAAGAAACAATTCACGAAAATGAGGAGAGGCTTAGGAACCTCCAGGACATCTTTAAACGCTCCGATATCCGAATTATAGGGGTACCAGAAGGGCAAGAGGAAGAGCAACACATGGAAAACTCATTTGAAAAAATCATAAAGGAGAACTTCCCCAATCTGGCAAAGGAAATAGACTTCCAAGAAGTCCAGGAAGATCAGAGAGTCCCAAAGAAAGTGGATCCAAAGAGGAACACACCAAAGTACATCATAATTACATTATCCAAGATTAAAATGGAGAGAATTCTAGAAGCAGCAAGAGAAAAGGGGACAGTCGCCTACAAAGGAGTTCTCATGAAACTGTCAGTGGATTTCTCAAAAGAGACCTTACAGGCAAGAAGGGGCTGGAAAGAAGTATCCCAAGTCATGAAATGGAAGGACCTACATCTAAGATTGCTCTATCCAGAAAAGCTTTCATTTAGAATGGAAGGGCAGGCAAAGTGTTTCTCAGATAGGATCAAGTTAGAGGAGTTCATCATCACCAAGCCCTTATTATATGAAATGTTAAAGGGACTTATCTAAGAAAAAGAAGATAAAAAAAGATGAACAGTGAAAGGACAGCAAACTCACAGTTATTAACAACCACACCTAAAACAAAAGCAAACTAAGAAGACAGCTAGATCAGGAGCAGAACCATAGAAATGAAGATCTCCTGGAGGGTTAGCAACAGGGGAGTGGGAGATGGAGAAGGGGGGAGAAGATACAGAAAATAAGTAGCATAGACTACGGGGAGAAAATAGACGGGGAAGGGCAAGAGTAGTGTGGGAAATGTAGAAGCTAAAGAACTTGTGACACATGGACATGAACTAAAGGGGGGAAGGTGGGGGAGGGAGTGTGCAGGGTGGAGGAGAATGAAGGGGGGAAATGGGACAACTGTAATGGCATAATCAATAAAATACATTATTAAAAAAGATTATTTAGAAACATAATTTTTTCAAAACAAATCCATAGTTGAGAACTATTTCAAAATCTATTTGGTATTCTCAATATTATAATAAACATTTAGTCCAATTTCATAAAATTTAAAGCATCTGCTCAATCATAATAGGTAGCTTACTGTGTTTTTCACCAAGCTCTTTTAACAATAAAAATCAGTCCAGAAACACATGTTGATCTCTAAAAGGTTTTGACAGCTCACCTTCAGTACAGAAAATAATTATTAGAATATACGTTAAGTTAATACTAATTCATACATCTATCCTACATTGTTTTCCATCCTCTGTTATTCTAGTGTGAATCATAGCTGCTTCCTCTTCTTTGCATTCATCTCAGTGATTTTCACTTCTGTAGGCACTCGTTGGGGATAAGACACTGGCATTTTGGTTGATGGATGCTGAAATGTACACCAACATGAGTGTTCTGACCCCTCTTACTCCAGTTATTGATCGTGGGATACAGCTTCATAAAATGATTCGACTTATTACTCATGCACTTGGTGGAGAAGGCTATCTCAATTTCATGGGTAAGTATTAATTGAATATATAACCCAATTTATGTTTAAAATCTTAGAACTAATACTACGTATACATAAATTATTTAGAACATTTTGATTTGGCTGTTTAGATTTAAAATATAAAATTATAACTTTATGCTTTAATATGCTGTCATGTGTAAACTGCAAAAATTAACTCTAAGACTAATACATAATGCAAAAGTAGTCTAATAGCTGGTATTTTACTTATTATTATTGACAAGTGGAGTGAACTATTTTTAAAACTTAGAATTATTCTGAATTTAATTATTTGGGGTTTATTGTAGTGTTTGCACATTAAACGTAAGAAAGATATAATTGACATGTCATGTCCTATTATTCTAGTATTAATAGTTTTTTTTGAGGAAATTGAATGCCAGTGAAAGACTTTCACATTATAAATGTAAAAGACTGGCCTAGGATATCATGATGGGTAAAAAAATATTTTAAAAAACAGGAAAAAATTACTAGTATTCAAAAATCACTATTGTCCGCAGGTTCTTGATTGAGAAAATATAGAAATCAACTGACACAGTTTTCTCTTCTATTTGATTAACAACGTCCATTGAAACATTTGAGCATTAGGAGATTTTGCAAGCATTCAGGGTAGAGAGCGGCAGAAAGATTGATAAATGCTTATGGGAGGCAGGCTGACTTTTATACAGTAAAAGACTTAGTTCTTCAAATTAAGTCATTTTCTTCTGGATGTTTTTATAAGGAATCTCAGATTGGACTTTTAAAAACTTCTTTTAGTTTCTTGAGGAAATTCCATACTGTTTTCCACAGTGGCTGCACCAGTCTGCATTCCCACCAACAGTGCACAAGGGTTCCCTTTTCCCCACAACTTCACCAGCACTTGTTTGTTCCTTTGTTAATGATGGACATTCTGACCTCTGTGAAGTGGTATCTCATCGTGGTTTTAATTTGCATCTCTCTGATGGCTAGGAGACAACCATATTTGAATATCAAAAATAAAATAAATAAATAAATAGAAAACTTCTGGTTTTTGTTCGCTTGAGGTTAGAAAGCCAAGCCCAATAAACCATACAGTAAAATTTAACTGCTTAACTGTACCTTTAGGTGCATTCCTCTTCCCTCAGGATCATAAACATGTGTTAATATTACTAACTTTCCAGGAAGTGCCCTTCCTGACCTGTGAGACTGCACATGCCAGCCAAGCCCCAGACCCAAGTCCATAAGGGACTTAGTGGGCATTGGATCCATAAGTACAATCAGCCTCAGTTCCTTAAAAATCTATTTTTCCCTGACTCGAGGAGCATCACTCACGAATGCAACTATTCCAGTAAGGTCTTAGTTGCACAATCGTTTTATTCAATTATGTTCTGATAAAAATGGTGGAGTTATGAACCTGCATAAATAACTGTCTCCATATAAAGTAAGGAGACCTGAGGGTTAGTGAGAAATTTTTTAACATTTTATTTTGTTTACAATAGCAGAGTTTTTAAAATTAGTCCAGTCTAAAGATAGTGTAAGAAAATAATGAAAAAGGCTACCTTATATACTTGGAAACTACAACACTTTTTAAAACAGAACCAAACTAAAAAAATTAAGACTTCCAAGTTTATGCAGTCAGTCCTATACAATTAATTCTTGAAGTTCACTGTCCCTGAAAATTCCAGAAATCCTGACTCAGTCTATTGCTTTAGTCTGAAAGATGTAAAAATGTACTAAATACATGACTACCTTGATATAATTAAAACTCAGAAGCCTGTACCTAAGAGTAGAGAGTGTCAGTAGTTTGAAGTAGTTAATGAGGATCTAGTCCTGGGACTGTCCTCCTTTGCTGAGGACAGTTCTAGCCTGTAGCCTATACCAGAGCCTCTAGGCAGGCATCAAAGGAAAACAGAACTTTTTGCAGAGGACAGACTTAATTAATATTGATGACTCGCAGGTAAGGAAGGGCTGATAAAAGCTCACAAGGAGAACTATTTCCTGAGTGTTAGTATTTTCTGAGGGTGTAAATCGATCATGAGCAGCTAGGACACCAACAGAGCTCCGGAACATCATAAACTGTGTGAAATGCTTATATTAATATCACATGAACTGTACATGTTCAACTGCACATGTTCAACCTGTATAGAGGCCAAATACCTATTCTCTTTTGGAAACTCTTCTCATGGAACTTGCAACAGTAACACAATCAATAAACACATTTCTAGCATATCTTTCTATAATGTCTGTAAATTGACCATACTCATGGTATCAAATCTGATTTTGAGGTTGTTCTTATATATAGAACTCAGAGATCCTTTGAAGTTTTAGTCCTGCTATTGTCCTCAAAATAAATGGCTTCTCATATTTAACTTCAATATAGCACCTTTTTAAAAAATTTCTTCTATTTTAGTATCTTAACATAAATCTTACAGTCCTATAACTTTAAAATCTGTAATTTCCAAATGGCTCTAATTTCTTATTATTTTATCAAATTTAATATTTCCACATAAACTAACATGACTTTAAATATCTATAGATATATTTTCCAATTTTCTGACCATGACTGTTTACCGGCTTTAATGGTGACAGTGTCCTCCCGCTGACCTGGAAGCCTCCCACGAATTGTCCCCTGTGGGTTTCCCCACTGATCACTTGGCTGGACCCAAACGAGTCTTCTGTCAGTTGTTGAATGTACCAGCCTTCTCCTGCCCTGAACTCTGTACTTGTTGCTGTTCTCACTCTTGGAATCCTTCCGTTCAAACACCCCCTCCCTTACCTGACCAAACCCTTTACCTGCATGTCTCAGATCCTTCCAGAGGTCTTTCCTAAAGCATCAATCTATGCTAGTTTTCCTACTATATGTTTTTATAGTGCTGCATACTTACCTTTCATGGCACTTAAGAAAATTACATTTCAAAAACTATTAAATGTATGATTCCCTTGATAAAATTAAAACTCAGTGAAAAAAGAGGTCATCTGTATCTTAGTCACCTTTATATCTTCAGGAACTAGCAGCAACTAGCACAGTAATCCAAGATATCACAAGGTTTTCACATTTTTCTGAAAGAAGATATCAAATATATATGGAACATTACCTGTATGTAATATTTTTAGCAGTTGTTCATTAGCTGCAATCACCAGTTGTAGTTTTAAGCAAAGTATTTTTTTCAAGTGGCATATAAAACATTAATATTTAAAAAAATCAAATTAAGAAATCCTTCAATACTGAAGAGCAACTTGGTTGTTTGCTCATGTTTTAGGCATTTTTAAACTTGTTAGCTATCTGGAATTTTAATTTTATTTCCCTCTAATACAGGAAGAGTGAGTTAAAGGAAGTAAAATAATGACACATTCTTGTAGGTTTTAATTAAACCATGTTTACATAAATTTGCCAGGCATGTAAATATGTTTTCTTATTAAAAATTGTTAAGATAAATAATGAATTTTCTCAGAATGATATCAATTTGACTCTTTTGGGTTTTGTTATTATTGTTCTTTTTACATTTATTATTCAGTTAGAGTTGTCCCCATTTTCCTCCCATTTTTCTCTTGTATACTGCTAATTTTGAGTTGTTTTTTTTTTAAATGTTCTACTCTGGTTCAACCAGAGGAACATTTGCTATGAACTTTTTGATTTTCTAAGTTATGTTAATTGGTAATGAATAAATACGTTTATATTTCCTATTCTGTCATATACTCATATAAAAGATTGAGATATAGAAGAGGGAAGCAGGAATAGCTAAATTATTTTTATATATTCATATTAGTGATTATAAGAGTTTATACTTTCTAATGCATGTTCATAAGCCTCATCTTACTTAATCTTCGTAAAGTTTTTCTTCTGGTATACTATGCCTCAGTTCTGAAAACACCTGGGATGAAAGGAGAGTACAAAGATGTGCTAGGGAGATGATCCAAGTCTCATTTTGCTAAAACTGCAACTCAGGGAGGTGAAGGGACATGCTAACACTATACAATTAGAAAATACAACAGCAGCTGGTTGATTGTCTTTTTCTTTTGATTTCCAGTTTGAGAAAATCAAGCAAACGTTATTCTTAGATCAATATATAGATTAGCCATGAATATTAATGAATATTAATAATTTTAATAATTAATGAATATATTTTAGGGAAATGATAGAGCATGGGGTTAAGAAAGCTATTTGAGTGCAAACCCAAGTTTTCTAGCTGCATGACCTGGGTAGGGTGCATCATCCTGGTGCCTTCATGGGCGCTTTAGGAGATGGAGTGGTGCCTGCCTCAGAGGGTTCTTTTCAAGGTAGTTTGATACAGTACATATGCAAGACTCAGAATATTGCCAGGCACAGAGATCATAACTAACTTTTAGCTAAATCTAAGCTTAATTTTTAATTAAATTTACTATTACTGTCTTTAATATCCATGGTTTCATTAAATGTATGACTCCTGAGTACTCATGTACCAATTCCACCTAAGAGTGTTTTTTACAATCTTGTCTATTTGTACATAGCTTAACAAAAAAATCCTTAAAACATTTAATTTATTTCCTCTTTAAAATATCAGAAAGGGCCCTGGCTGGTGTAGCTCAGTGGACTGAGCTTGGGCCTGTGAACCAGAGGATCGCAATTCAATTCCAAGTCAGGGCACATGCCTGGGTTGCAGGCCAGTTCCCAGCAAGGGACACACAAGAGGCAACCATACATTGATATTTCTCTCCCTCTCTCCTTCCCTTCCCATCTAAAGATAAATAAACAAATAATTATATATATATATATATATATATATATATATATATATATATATATCAGAAAGGTAACAATTATTTGTTAAAAATCAAGCAACATTTTCCCAGTTGATATTATTTGGTAAATTAAGTCATTTCTGTAGTCAGTCTCACTAATAGTAACTATTAGCATTTTTGTATTTAATTCATAGTGACATTTATGGAATATTTCTGTGAAAACACCTGACTTAGCTTTCATTTATGAGGGATCTGAGAGTTACCTCAGTTAGTTTTTATTTTATTCATTAGCGTTTATTATGTATCATATTATATGG